CGTTGGGTATTTTGTATCCATTACCTCACTTAACTTGCACATCTGTAAGTGCTGACCATGACATCTGCTTTTACGGATTAGAAACCCAAGACCCCGAAGCCAAGGGCAATTGGTATCATGGCAGCAGGCATGAGACTGACTGTGCCCAGTGGTTAGAACAAAGAGCTGGGGAGCCAACAGCCGCTTCCCTCCCTCTGCAGCTAGGAGATGGGCACAGGGCTTCATCTCTGCCTGCAACCTGTCACCTCCAGGTCTGTGATTCCCGCCTCTGCGAGGCTGTGAGATCCAGAAGCTTTTGCATGCACTGCCCTCACAGTGCCCAGTGCATGGTGAGTGCCATGTCTCCTCTCAGCACCACTGTTAGTCTCCATGTGGGCACTGCCACAAAGACTCTGAGGAGTTAACTCCAGGACTCACCCCAAGGCAGGGCCACCAGGGCGGGCTTGGGGCAGCAAGTTTGTCATAGAAGCTTTAACTTCCTGTTCCTTCACTTGTTGACATCTTCACAGAAGGCTTGTGAGGGCTCCTCCTGGAATATTGAACCGTCCACAGCAGGAGGGCTGTTGTGTCTAAGTGTGTATCTCTGTGACCGTGTGTGTCTTTGCTTGTGATTGTGTGTGTGTGTTGGTGTTGCGTGTCTGTGTGTGAGCCTGCCTCTGCCTGTGACCGGGTGTCTGTGTCCTGAGTGCGTGTCTGTGATGGGCACGTGTCTGGGTATCAGTGTTCGTGTCTGGCCGTGAGTCTCACTGTGTTCACAGGTGTGTGAGGTGTCCTCTACGTGTGCCTGTGTGGGCTGAGTCAAGCTTGGTCTGAGGCGACCAGAGGCTTCCTAAGGTCAGGACAATGTTCACAGACTCCAGGAAGGAAAAGCTGTGGTTAGCAACTGTGGTTTTGGCCCATGCTATTTTTAAACTTTAAAAAACAACAAGAGGAAACTCATTGCCACTCAATAGCCAGGTCAGAGTTAGATAAAACATAAGCCTGGGCTTTAAAAATAGCGTGGGTGGACTGAGAAGACTCCAGTGCCACCATGGCCTGCAAGGTCACATGAGGCCCAGAGAGCTGGCGGGTCCCAGAGGCCACATCACCATGCATGGGACACCGGTGGTCATCCATGTCTGCCTCGTGGTTCTTTACAATGGCCTGCGAACATGGGTTCCTGTTCTCAGGCTCTGAGAAGGCTGCTCTCCCAGGGGACTTTATCAGAGTGACAGAGCCAAAGCCTAGACCTGTCCCTCTCGCCCAAGCCCATGCTCTCTGCAGGGCCCCGTTTAGCACCCTGCCCCTGAGTACCTTGCCTCCTATCAAGTGGTTTAAAATGAGGGCTGTGTGCCCGTTGGTGCCTTCACCACCAATTTTCCGTGAAGAGATTTCCTCCAGAAAGATCGATTAAAACCAAACACTGAGAGGAAAGTTCTGTAGCCTATCTCACAATACTAGGGCAGCCCACGCCTTTAACCACTTCCTCCCCTATCGGGAGGCCTGGTTTTTATAGCTGGTAAAAATGTTGCAAACATCAGAGGCATGTCCTGAAATTCTCGTGTCCCCGGGGGCTGTCTGTGCATGAAGCTGGAAGCCCCTCCTGGCTGTCCCGCACTTTGCTGTTTACAGTAGGAACTGTAGCTGGAGTATCTGGAGTGTGTGTGTGTGTGTGTGTGTGTGTGTGTGTGTGTGTGTGCTCTGTTGGGACAAAGAACACCCAGAGGTTCTCACAAAAGCTTGCCACTCACTGATGGAAGAATAAACCCAAAGGTGCGGAACTCAGTGCCAGCTCTGAATCATGCTGACCCTGGTTCACTGCCACTGTCACTGAGCTCCAGGACCCCAGCTGGCTGAGTATTTATTTGTCCTTTATTGTTGCCTATTCCCACAAAGAGCCTGGGTTTAGTGTTCTCCTCCTGTAGAGATGCTGCAGCTCAGAAGGAGCCACTGGCTCGGTGCTCAGCCCAGCTTGGTGCATCTTACCGTAAGCCTGAGCTTGTTATCTAAATGGGTGAAGGACAAAAAAACCATATATTTTGCCTATTTCTGCCTGCATCTGTAAGCCCAACCTTCCAGGCTTAATGGGAACACTCAGAGCTGTTGGAAAGGGCTCCTCGGGTGCCAGGCTGCTTAGGCGCGGTGTCTCTGGTCCTCCACTACACGCCCTGTGTGATTTCCAGGCCCTCAGCTGAGTTTTTCACCGCCCAGCCTGACCACAGGCCCTCACTGGACCCAACAGCCAAGCAGAAACAAGAATAGCAATGGCACCTCCCGCCGCCTTCCCCCAAGGACTCAGGCCTGCCTCGTGGTAACCAAGGGCCTGGTTCAGGTCCTGCTCTACCTCCCCCGAGCCCTGTGACCTTGACATTCACCTCGCTGTGCTTGGCTCCCTTGTCTGTAATGGGGGATGATGCCATCAGTGCCCTGGAGGAGCTGGTGAGGCTTCAACCAAATCTGCACCTGCATCGTGGAAAGCAGTGCTGGTGCAGAGAAAGATCTCTGTCAGGGTGCACCTGGCAATCACTAAGCCCTCAGTTCCGGGAGCCACTTGGGGCTGGCATGGAGGAGGAGTGGGCGTTAGGGGCTCTCTGAAGCCATCCATGGCGTTGGAGGCCTGAGCCGGGACACTGTCTGCCCAGCTGCCTATGATGGTAGCGCCTCGGGGTTTGGAGCCTGGGCGTTGAGCTGTTGCATGGAGGACAGGGCCAGACTTGGGCTCCTCGCTCGCTCCCGTCCCCTCAGCCTTTGGGTGCCGATTCTCAGGCCCCCACACACTGTCCAGTGCCGGGGCTTCCACCCGAGTCCTGGTTCCCCCTGCTGTGTTAGCAGCAACCATACTCCGCCTTTCTGGTATTTTCGGTTTCTGACACAGTGGCTCCGGGCCTGGAACTGTGACGTCAGTGCCACAGAGTCCACTGGGGACAGTGTTCTCTTTACACTGCAGTGGGAGGACCCCATGTAGCCCAACCGCTGACCACCTGGTCTGGACAGGACATGGATAACATGGGGCCGAGCCCAGGGTCCAGTCCAGACTGCACCCTGCTCTGCCCTCAGCAGATGTGTGACATTGGGCATGAGAGAAAACTTCTCTGCCCAATTTCCCCCTCAAAAAGATAAGGAGCTAAACACTGTTAACACTTAGGGCTGTGGAGAGGTTTTAATGAGTTAATCTATGTCAGTGCTTAGGGCTATGTGCTTAAAATCTAGTGAGTGCTCAAGGCATGTGTGCAGTCACTGTGAGATGTGACCGAAAACTACAGTGAATGTTTGAATTTTTAAAGATGTATTACAGTAATAGTTATATTGCCATTAACCTCCTTCAAAATAACCCCTGACCACTTGGAACACACTTATTCCCTGTGCTTGCCACGTTCTAAAGCAGTTCTGGAAGTCCTCTTTTGTATGTTTAGTTGAGATATCATGGCTACCTTGACTGGATGAATCCATTCAAAATGTTTACCTTTCATTTTGGCTTTGGGGCGGAGCCAGAAGTTGTACAATGCAGACCTGGTGAGTAAGGTGGATGAAGGAACTCCCTAATGTTCTTACCAGCCTGCCTTTCCACTGAAGGCCAGCAGCATTCACCATATTTTATCACACCTCATAAAGATACTCGTGAAAGAGGACTTCCAGAACTGCTTCAGTAAGTAGTAAGAATAGTGGAATAAGAGTAGCCTACGCAAGGCAGAGTAATTTGAGGGGGATTAGTGACAGTGTGTCTTTCACTGTAATTTTTTTAAAATTTAACACACACTATGTGTTTTGCTCTCACCTTGCATTTCAGTTGTTAAGCTCCTAGTATATGTGAAGGACCTAATTTATGGGCATTCTCTCTGTCCTTGGTGACCCTTCTTGTCTGGAAAGTGGGGTGATGGCTGCAGCTGCCTCAGACTATTATTTGGAGGTGATGTGAGGTGCAGCAGACCGAGCTCCTGGGAGAGGGCACCCTGGCGGCTGGTCACAGTGCTCAGTGAACAGTGCTCTGCAGTCAGCTGCCCTTATTAGGGCCCAGGGCTCTGTGGTGAGAGCAGCGTCTCCCTCGGTGCTCCAGGTGCAGAGCCAGGCTCTCTGTCTGCACACCGGCCCATGCAGAGGTGCCTGAGCCTGGCTCCGTACCCACGAGCAGCTGCACCTCCCGATGCTTGGCCCTGCTCATACCACTCTGTCCCCCTGCGTCTTTAGTTCCAGGCTTTTAACGGGGGGGGGGGGGCAATAGCAGAAACTACCTCACACAGCCCCTGTGAGGCCAGGTGAGCAAACCAGGGACTCCTGAACTTGAGTTACCCGAGGACTCCATCCATGGCCATCGCTGCTGCTCTGTTTGTGGCAGTAGCTCTGGCGATGGCAGTGCGCCATCCCTCCGTGCTGTCCCTGACTCCAGCTCTCCAGGGGAATGTGGAGCCAAAGTGTGGGCCTCCCCTCCATCCAGCCCTGAGCAGGAGACCCAGGTTTGGGCAGAGACCAGCTTCCTGAAACCCAGCTTCCCCTGACATCCGTACACAGGGAAACCCCAAGGAACTGTTGTGCTAACAGTGACACCCACTGATGTGGCTGGAACAATTTCCCTTCCCAGTGGGATGTGTGTTTTCATCATCTCCTAGGTGTGCTCCATATTAAAGTGTAATTTGGTCCTAGTTGAGCCATGGGAACTTGCTGTTGTAACGGTCCCTGGAGGTGGAAGCAGGATGTGGTTCTACCCCTGCAGAGTACCTTTCTGCTCTGACCTTTGTCCCTGTTGCAAAACCACCTGACCTTTGTCTCTGTAACCACTCCAGCCAAATAGCCATGACTGGAGGTGCTTTGCCCAGTGCCCTTGATTCACAGATGAGGAAACTGAGGCCTCAGCGTTGACTGGTTAGAGCACACATAGCATGCTGATATGCTGTCCATCAGTCGGCCTCCACACCCATGGGCATCCCCAGGAAGGGCCCTGAGACTTCCGGTCTGGCCGAGGTTTTGAGGCTGAGCAGGAGCAGGAGACTGTGAGAGCCTTGCCCTAACCCTTCTTTCTCTTCCAGGGAGGCTCTGTGCTCTCCCCAGCCACTGTCATCAGCCCCAGCAGGGCTCAGCAACAGGCGATGACTTTGGCAAAGGAGGTCAACTGCCCTACCTCATCCAGCCAAGCAGTGGTGTCCTGCCTACGCCAGACGCCTGCCAACGTTCTCAACGATGCCCAGACCAAGGTGGGCGCTGGTGTGCAGGGTGGGTAGGGCCATCCAGTCCTTCACAAATAGAGAGCTGAGAGAAGAGACACGACCTACTCAAGCCACCCAGTCGGAGACTGTACATTCCTGACACCCACAGGCCATCGGGGACCAGCAGGGCACTGAAGGTGCACAGGTCTCTCTGCACCTTAGATTTCTCCTCTATGAAATGGAAGGAATGATGCAGCCCTGTACAACAGGAGGGGACAATGCAACACCACATTGAGGGGTGGTGCCCCCCATGCCAGGACTGCAGTAGGCACTCGGTCAGGTCACAGCTCTGTGTTCTGAGCATTATGGACATAGCTGCACAGTCAGGCTCTGGACGTGGGGCCCCCTAACCCTTACATGGGACAGCTTTGTGCCCCCTTTCTAGCCTGCAAAGACCTTGCTCAGAGCCAAGTCTCTACTGTCTCTGAGGTTAGTGAAGGGGACAGCAGCAGGAGTAACTGTTAGAATTTCAGCTGGCAGCTTGGTCCTCTCAGTGCTGACTGCAGTGGGTCTTACCCTTGGTTCCCTTAAATGTGGTAAATGTCACAGCAGCAAAAAAGCTGATCAATGTCACCTGTCAGAGCCACAGCCCTTTCTTCAGCTACATACCCTTCCTCCTGGGGATCTTTAGCTCAGTAGCAAGGCACTGCGATGCTCTTCTGGGGCCTCCCATGCTGAGAGTGAGCCACCTGGTGTCCTGCCTGCCTGTGGCTGTGGTCCTTTTACCCCTGCTTCCCAAGAGCACTACAGGTGAATAACCGGCCCTGGCAGTCATTTCCATTAGGACCTCGTTGTGCAAAGCAAAGACAAATCATTATTCCAGGACTATTTTTTAAAAGAAGGAGGTAAGAGCCATACAAATAGCGGCATTCCTCTGCACCCTGCAGCTCCTGGCAGTGAGTGGCCCTTTCCACTACTGGGGTCCCGTGGTCGACGGCCGGTACCTCCAAGAAGCCCCAGCCAGAGCCCTGCAGAGGCCTCCTCCTCGGGCCAAGGTCGATCTGCTCATCGGGAGCTCGCAGGAAGATGGGCTCATTAGCAGAGCCAAGGCGGTGAAGGTAGGCGAGAGGAGGCTGGGGTGGGGTGGTCTGCATCTGGCCTCTCCTCGAGGAACTGGGCACAAGGAGGAGGAGGACAGCCCCTCCCCAGCACACACTCAGGAGTCTCTCTGAAAGCTCTATTGAATATTCTTTTAAAAAAATTATTAATCCACACAGACAGGATCCTGAATTCCTTTGGATTAATCTATTTCCCTTGGATAATAGACCTCACTTTGGAGAATCTATTTCACAGCAATAGAAATAGGGTTTTACATAATATATATGCAAAGGTATTTTTCATAGCACTAATTGTTGTGGCAAAAAAAATTGGAAGCAATTCAAAATTAACAGGGAAATGACTGACTAAATTAAAACACATATAAACTATGAAGTATTAGGCTGCTGTTGAAAAGGACTAGTTAACTCTGCTTGCTTCAGGGATACCTGTTGCTAAATGAAAAATGAAGATGTAGAGGTATGTGGAATTTATATAGCATTCATATTCTTAAAAAGCAACCTGTGCTATCTGTGTATATGTAAGTGTGCGTAGTTTTATGTTTCTCTGAGAAAGGGTAATGATGTAGACAGATTAACAGCAGCTACTTCTGGAGGTGTTAGAGACATGAGAAAGAATATTATAAATTATTTACTGCAGTTGCTTGATGTACATATACGCATGTGATATTCAATATCATCTTTTCCTTGGAATGCCTTATTTACCATTGTCCTGCAGATAAAGGTGTATGGCTATTGACTCATCACAGCTCTGGTTCTTGGACCATGTGTAATAGTACCTCAGTTCACAAACTTAATTTGTTCTACAATTTGGGAAAAGATGGCCGCATTTGCATTTGTGTGGGAAAGATGGCCACGGTCATGTTTGTTACCTGATGCAGAGTTTGCAAACAAAACCAAAATTTTGCCAAGTGCTTCAGGTTTTGAACTGAATTGTTTGCAAACAAAAACGTTCAGGAACTGAGGCACCACTGTACTGAACTTGTTCTAGCCATCTTTGACTCTTTCTCAGAAAAGGAAGAACTAATCTCATATTCTCAGGAGCTTGGGATCATCCCAGATATTGCACATGTGGTTTGGAGGAGGACGGACCAGGGGCTTCTCCGCACTGCCACTGTAAAGAAGCGGTGTCCCCCAGAAGGGGAGGGCAGGTGCTTATCTGCAGGCTTGGGTGGTGGTGGGCCAGCATGCAGCCTTGGTTACATTTCTCTGTCATGCCAGCTGACTGGGAGAGGGTGGCCAGGACCTGTGGCTGCTTTGGGCTTGTCTAGTCCAACCACTGTCCTGGTAGTACCTTTGGGACATTTCCCACCATGTCTTGAATTCCTGAGCTACTCCTCACAAAGCCTTAATCCAGATCCCAACTCAGTGCTGCATTTTTACTCCTCTCCTTGAGTTTCCCTCTGAGGCTCTGCAGGCACCGTTTCCTTTGTCCACTTGCAAAGACAGGCAGTTCTGGCCAACAGGAGGCTGGCTGCCCAAGCAGGCCTGGTTTGGAAGGCACACGCTCAAGGTGGCACAGGAACAGAGAAATTTTGCTACAAGTCTAGCAAGGAGGCTCCCAGCCCATTCCACAGCTGCCGGCCAAGCTCCACTTCCAGGCTCTGTATTCTCCATACCCATTCTCTGGCGAGATTGGAAATCATACTGCACATTTCCCCCCTTCTTTCGGGAACAGGTGCAGCCCTGAGCCATCTTGGGTTCCTGCATCCTACCCAGCTTATACATAGCACCAGCCAGAGGAAGGAAGGAGAATGACAGCGACGGTCAGGTTGGAAGCCAGGTGTCCACGGCCATTCCATGCTGACTTTTCCATGCAGATCCTGTCTCTCTATCACTTTAGCCCTGACCCTTCCCCTGAACTCTAGACTGTTTTAGTCCACGATCTGGCCAACTTCTCATAGCTCTTCAACCCACATGCACAGCAGACTGCTGGTCCCAGCAGCCCCCACCCCTAAAGCAGCACATTCTCCCGCAGTCTTTGCACCTCAGTAAACAGCTACTCTCTCTCCACATGCTCAGGCTCCACACCAGAAAGCAGCTGGACGCTGCCTTCTGCCAACATTCCATCAGCATCGCAGTTTCTCTGTCTTACAGTACACCCAGCACCCAGCTGCCTCTCACTGCCTCGTGGGCCATCACTCTGATCCTGCCATTCTCTTTCTCCAGGATCTTGGCAGAAGCCCCACTGCCTCCCTGCTGTCTTAGCCCCTGTGTCTGTGAGGACCACTGTGGCTGGAACAATCCTTGGAGGCAGAAGTCAGATCAGGCCACTCCTCCACTCACAGTCCTTCAGTGGCATTGCCTCTCACAGACTCAAATCCACAGCCCTCACCGTGACTTAGAGAACCTATTGGATGTGGCCACAGTAGCTCCCTGGCTTCACTTCTTGCTCCTTCCTTCCATGGCCCACTATGTTCGCACCTCACCAGTCAGTCCCTCTGGTGTCCCCAGGTTTGCTGAGCATGCTGCCACCTTAAGGTCTTGCCATTTGCTGGTCCCTCTTCTAGAATGGTCCTGGATAGCACAATGCCTCATGTCCTTTAGGATCTGCCTACCGACCCTAACTGCATATGTTCTGAGGCATTGTCAAGCATGAGCACATTTACTATGTCCCAGATGCTGGGCCAAGTGTTTAGGCATCAATATTGAATTCCTGCCCCCCTTGGTGAGGTCACAGTCAGGCTAGGAAGAAGAGAGTAAACAAGCTAAACAACCGAAAGATGGATATATGCTATGTGGAAAAATGGGGATCCGATTCCTGAGCCTTCAGAGGCAAGAGGCAAAGGATTACTAGGCCCATAGTGGCACTGCCGGGAGGGCTGATACATGGCCAAGGAACTGACCAGAACCCCACAAACTTGGCTGTCTCTCAACCAAACAAGAAAGGAGTCATGAACATCCTTAGATTATAATCAGAAACATTCAAGTTTCCCAGAGCCTGACCCTCATTTGTCCTGTTTATAAATTTGGACATTATGAGTAAACATCCTTATAACAATGATCAGAGGATTTAAATATACCTCAATGTCTGCCAAGTAGTCTGACCTCAATAAATGTAATTTCTCACTTCGTTCTTTAATTTTAATAGGATTAGTGGCCCTCATCCAGAGTTAGCCCCAGAAAGCAGGAATACAAAGAACAGGCAGTAACCTTTCCTGACCGGAGACCAGTTTCCAAATTACCACAGTCACATTTGTGCACACGCTTCTTCCTCATGCCAGCCCTGCAAAATGCCAGCTGAGCCCAGTTCCCAAATGTACACAGGAAGTCCCAGGAGGGTGGGAGTCCCTACCCAAAGTTCAGGCCCCCAGACCGAGCCATCACCTGGCAGAGGCCCGCCAAATGCCCTCACCCCCTGCCACCCCAGCACAGCTGTAGCCCACCCAGGGAGTCCCAGTGACACCAGCACAGTTAGTAACATACCCACAGAGCATCCGGGCTGCTTGAGATGCCTAGAAGGGCTCCATTCTTGGGGAATGATCTTATCTTCTGAAGTAGCAGCTTTCTATTGAAATTCTTCATCAGTCTCTGTGAAAGGGAGTTTCCAGCCCCCTTTTCTCTTCCTTACTGGTGAAATTGACAGTCTGCCTACATTAACCGGGCACTCATTTGCATGATCAAAAGCAGATTTGTTCCAAGATGCAATGTTCCGCCTTCTCCTCCAAGTGCAAGCATCCCCAAGGAAGCCAAGGAAAATCAGACAGGGAGCAGTGCCACCACGCCCCGAGCTTGGCCAGGCATCAGCCCCTTTCTGGAGCAGGTGGAGTGGGGCCTGTGGTGCAGAGCCCGCCTGAGAGTTGGAAAGCAGCACCTGGCAGCCGAGGAGCTGGCATGAGCTCCAGCACAGGGAGATTGAGTCCTTGGTGACAGCTTATAGTAAGAGGTGCATGCAGGAGTCCCCAGCGCCTGCGTGAGATTTCTTGAAGAGAGGCCTGGCACTCAGTGTGGGTGGGTTAAGTCTAGACCCAAGGCAGAGTGAGGAGGCGGAGGCATATAAGTGGATCCCAAGTCATGGCTTTAAACATGCGATTTAGGCAAGTTGCTTAGCAAGTCTGAGCAGCCATTTTTCAGCCTTCCAGTGGCATAGTGAATGAACCCCTCCTTCCTTCCCCCCACCCTCACTCCTGTCTCCTGCTCCTTTGTGAGAAGGCCTCTAAGAAAAGAGACAACTCCTGCTCCCTGGGGACCCTGCTGGTCTCTGCCGGAGCTCTGGGCTGCCCTGGTGCACTGTGAGCCCCCCACACACTCTGTGAACCAGGCCCTCACAGCCCCAGGCTCATATGTTACCTCCCGCAGCCTCATGTGCTGGGATCGCCTCACTCAGCAAGCTGAGGCTCAAAGAGGTTGATTCTCCCCACCCAAATAGCAAATATATTCCGTGACTGCATTGGCAGAAAGATGAATGTAGACCAAGCTGGAATCACTGTTATACCTTCATGATCTTTCTATTGTTTTCCTTCTGATTTTAAAAGACACACACAAGAAAATATTCTTGTGGATCCCTAAAAGCATAGGGGGCCCTGGGCCCCAGGCCTGCCCTGCCTGGCTGAGAAGGCAGCCCCTCGCCTTCGTGCTGTAGTGAGTGGAGGCATCAGGAGTCCGGCATGTGTTAGTTGCTTCGCAGAAGCATCCCGCAGAGAATTGTTAAGATGCTGCTTCGTGCACTGGGCACTCTTCAAGGCTCGGGGGAAGTTCTGACCAGACAGATAAGGCCTGGTTGTGGAGTCTGTTCTCTGAGGGGGACACACATACAATGATGTTCACACAAATACAGTAAGGACTTCAGACCTTGAGAAGTGTTCTGAAGAAAATGGAAGCAGGTCAGTTGTAGAGGAAGTGGCAGAATGGGAGACTGAGTTTGGGGTGGATCTGGGAAAGCCTATGGAGGAGGGGACTTGGGGCTGAGATCTGTGTGGTGAGGAGAAGGAGTCTGTCTTAGTTGCTTTTCTCACTGCTGAGACAGAGCCCCGGGGAGATCTCTGGCAGAGCTGCTGCGAAGC